ACACTACTTACTACTACCCTAAAGCTGACTGGAATTCTTTTCATGATTTTCTTCTTGACGGTCCTTGGGCTGATGTCTTGGGACTGATCTTATTAACTCTTCCAAGAATAAAGCAGAACTATTTGCAAAAAACTTTTCCTCTTAATTTGACTCTTAAAACTTATGGTCATTCTCTTCCTTACATTCCAGTTAAACAGGTTAACCCATTGTTAGATATTAAAATTACTCCAGCTTCCATTGCTAAGTCATATCTTGATTAAACTCTTCTACGTCTTGTGGTCCAGACAACATACCTGTTATAGTCTTACAAAATTGTTCTCAAGAACTCTCTATAATTCTCTCTAGACTATTTAATAAGTGCTTGACCGAGTCTTGTTTTCCTGCCTGCTGGAAAATGGCACCTGTTGTTCCAATTTTCAAAAACTCTGTTGAACAACTATAATCCAATCAGTCTTTTTTCTTTATTAACAAGGTGTTTGAGTCTTTAAAAAAAAAATTTCTCACATCTTTGATAAACACATTTTTCACATCCTATCTTGAGTCAATTAACTTACTGTCAGACAACATGGTATCTGATCGTCTTGCTCTAAGGCTGACTTGCTAACTGCTGTGACTGAAAGATTTTATCATGCATTAGATGGAGGTGGAGAGGCTAGGGCTGTTGCTCTTGAAATATCTAAGGCTTTTGACAAAGTTTGGCATGCTGATCTTCTTCATAAGCTTGTTTTATATGGTGTTTCTGGGAAAGTTTTTGAGATTATCAAATTGTTTCTTTTTAACAACTTTATTAAAATCATTCTCGAAGACCAACATTCTTCTTTATTTCCAGTAGCTTCTGGGGTACCACAAGGTTCTATATTTGGTCCTGTTTTGTTTCTTATCTGCATTAATGATCTTCCCGACAACCTTACATCTAAAGTAACTCTTTTTGCTGATGACTTAACTTTACACTTCTGTCTTGATGAAAAAGTCTTCCTCTTTTTGATTGCTTATAACTAATAAAGTTTTAGTTGATAGAATTAGAGATGATAGCTCCTTTGAGCAGTGGCCATGATAGTATTTGTAGAAAAGAGAAAGAGATGCTACTTTACGACAATGGGAAAGAGGCTCAAGCTTAGCAGATAGGGTTCAACTACGTTTGCTAAGAGAAATTCATAAACTTTGAAGTTAGTGAATTTCCACATTTTTTATGTATCTGAAAATATTTAGTCAATACAGATGGTTTTCATTTAAAATGAAACATGAAAGTTGGTAAACAGCTTCTGTAAAAGTTTAATTTGAAATGGAATATATTTTTGAATGAGTTAATTTAAAACATGTAATTTGTTTTAACTAATCTTTATTTTAGTTTTTTAGATTAACTCGGTGCTGTAAATTTGTGCTGTTTTTTTAAACAAAAAATGTTTCTTCTTTTTAAATATTCTAAAGGGAACTGAAGCAAGTTTGCACTTTTTTTGTTTTTACATGATTTAAAAATGTTGACAAGTTAAATGTTTTAAAAGTTAAAAAGAGCAATGCGCTTTTTAAAAATCATAAGGAGACATTAGATATCTTTTTCAAAGATAAATTCATAGCTTTAATGAATTCCCTTACACTAAGTAGGTTGGAAAATTATTTCTTTTTGCTTCTGTTTTTCAATAACCAATGAATTACTTGAAGGAAGAAAAAAACTGTGCCCTACAATTCATCATGTTATCGATGTTTCTGTTCAATACAACTTACACTTTTAAGAATGACAATTCTGTTTTGAATATAATAAAAGATTCTTTTATCTCAGTAGTTGGTGACAAGTATCAAATGTCTTTTAAGGACGGCTGTGATGGAGCGACAAGCATCAATAATGCAAAGAAAATAAAATGTTTTAAAATTTTATTCCCCTGAAATTAAGCAAAAAAATTAAAAATTAAATTTGAAGAACTGAAATAATGTTAACACTTATCATTATTAACACTCATTATCAACATGTTAAATAAGCAAAAATTAACCACACTCTTCATGATATCCTTTATTACTCAGCTGAACTATTTATTCTTAATGATGGTTATAGCCTTAGCAATTTATGTGAGGAAGGTCTAAAAGCAAACAATAAAGATATAAGAAACTATTTAAAGCTTGTTTCTTGTAAGACATTTAGAACAGCTTACAGATGTGATGAGTCGCCTTTTAGAGAGATCTGATCCTGGTATTTTAAACCAAATTATTCATTTGCATCCTATAGTTATGTTTATAGTTATCCTATAGTTATCCTAAAGTTATGCTAAGATTGTTGTTCAAATGAACAAGTTCATTAGATCTCATAAGCGTGTTTTTGAAACTAAAGTTATAAACATTGTTTACTGTTTTTACTTTTTATTTTATTTATTAGAAAGATTTAAAGAGATTATTGCATGGTCAGAACTACCTAACGAAGAAAAAGGTGAAACTGAACACAAGCTTTTTATAAAAACCTATAAGAAAAGTTAAGAAGCTCCAGCATTCATCATCCTACGCAGAAAACAATGTAACACAGGTTTACTTTTTTACTTATCTTCAAATGTAGGAATATCAAACCATTAGAACTCTTGCCTTAAAATTTTACTACAATAATGTTATTTTAAACCCAAATTTGATCAAATACTTGTTATTAATACTAAACTTCTTATTAATAAACAGTAGGAACCAGACCCCTAATTAATTAAATTTTTGAATTTTCTTTCTTTTTAAGTATATCTAAGAAATTACTCTTTGAGCTGTCATCTAAAATAAAATTTAACTTTGAATAGTCAAATTAATTGAATGCCAAAAATGTTCAAATATGGTAATTTGAACCCAATCCACAAATTTAGTTTAATATTAAAAATTTTAATTTTCCTAAAACCAACAGAAAAATATCTTTCTAAAAAAACTTCAATGAGTTTTAAAGGATTTTTTATTGCCTTCTCGGTGTTAAGTTAAAAACTTAAAATGTTTTGTTTAAACATAATTATATGACCAAACCTTTGATAATGGAAATGTAACATTTACAGCATAAAACATACAGATGTCAATCCCCATAAATGTGGTAATATTGACATTTACAACTGAACAGCAAAATTAATAATCTACCAACAATGATAACTAATAACATTTTTTATTATTACAATAATTTTATTTCATTGATATTTTAGTACTGTAGGTTGCATTTTTATTTTTATTTATATCCATTTCAAGGTGAAATAATATTTTTTTATGTACAATTTTTCTTTTCCTTTTTTTTTTTTTTTGTATGTATTTAGGTGCTCCCAGAAGTCCTTTCGGCCTTATCATAGAGCACCGCGGGAAAGCATTTAACGAAAAGTTCATGCCTCTTTCCGTACCAATGTCGCTTGTTGGGCTAGAGCTGGCGTCGAACCTCGGACCTCTGGGTTCTGAGCCAGAACTCTAACCACTGCGCCACGGCTTACTTTCTGATTCACATGAAACTTGAACATATCTTATAATCTTATCCCTTCTGGCGCTTCTGGCGTTTTCTTCTGGACTAATCTAGAACTTCATACTTCTTATGCCAATTTCGCTTTTTAACACTTATTTATGTGATGAGGTATCATTACCTCCCAGGTATCAACTATAAATTAAACCAAGTTATTCAAATGAATGTCACAAAATTTCAACTGCAACTATTAAATCCGTTGAGAAGATTCTGACTTAAGATTTTACCACAAACGTTTTTTTTTATCCTAACCAAAATTAATATTAATTTTCATTAAAGCTTCATAACTTGCATATTTTTAAAAATGGCTTGACAAGACATGAATAAATAATACCACTAAATTATTAAATAATAACTGATAATTTATTATTATCAAGCATAACTTTCCGTCAAATTATGTTTTTAATTTTAATTATTTTTTGGCTGTTTTATTTTTAATTTTTTTTTCTACAACTTTTTCACAAGGAAATTAAAATATATGCAAAATGTATATAAGATATATTTTAAAATATTATGCTATTGCATAATATTTTAAAATAATTTATCATTTACTTCTTACATTTTGCATTAAATTTTTTTTTTTGAGCATTTATATTTTATTTACCTTTAAAGATTTCTTTTCAATAAATTTATAAATTTGTTCTTCCCATAGTTCTTTGCATCTGCCAAGTTTGCGATCACACAACCTAAAAAAGAAAAAAAAAACACAAGAAAATAACAAAAACAAAAAAAAACAATGATTTGTAAGAAGTATTTAAAATTATTTAAAACAAGTACAGTAATTTAAGTGAAAAAAAGACTATCAAAGTAAAAAGAAAAAAAAATTCACTTTGCTGCTTCTTCAAATTTATTGTTGGCGAAGAGATAGTTGAGATAAGCTTTAACAATTTCCTAAACAAATAATTATCTACATAATAATGCTTTATTACAAAATTGTTTATAACTATATAAATAACAAATATCTTATTTCTGATTCTTATTCATTTTATAGTACAAAGTACATGCTTTTTTTCAAAGTACATACTTTTTTAGCTTAACCCTTTGAGTGCAATGAGCCAAAATCGTGGCTGTACCGTTAGAGCGCAAAAAGCCATCCAACACCAAGAGGTTATGGATAGATTAAAAAAGGAAAGACCAATCTTTTAAAGATAAGAGCTTTCCTTGGAGTCGTAATCAACATGGTTCTCATCAAAAAAGCTAATCTTAAACTTTACTGAAATATAAGTCATCCTTGTGCATCTACTCCCTGGTTTGTTACCTTTAATCGTGATCGGTCTCAACTTTTGCTTAAATTTCTTCATTTTACAGACATCCATATACCAAATCAATAACCACTCAATAAAATTTATAAAATTCAGTTTTTAGTTGAACATTTTAACAAAAAATTTCTTTATTATTATTATCCACAAAAAGACATTTCTATAAATGAGAGTATGGTTGGCTACAAAGGAAAGACACCACATCTGCGTCAATATATGCCAAACAAATGTCATTCTAGGATTGGGATTAAGTTCTGGTGTGTTTCAGACAGTACTAATGGTTATTTGTGTCAATTCGAAATTTACAAGGGAGAAAAAGACCCAGATGTAGCAGCCAATGCCTATGGTATAACTTATAGTTTAGTTTTTAATCTTTTACGCCAAACTAATTTCCTCCACCAAGGTCATCACTTATATATTGACAATTATTATACTTCTCCTCAACTGTTATTAGATCTATATGCTCATCAGACCACTGCAACAGGCACAGTGAGAGTGCATTAAATCGAAATTAAAAAATAAGGAGGTTTGCCAATATAGAAAAGGTCCATTGTTGTGTGTGGCATATCAAAATGGTAAAAAAAAGCCTATATTACTATCTACTGTTGCCAAAGCAGGTTTTACTGAAATGCACAACATAAGAGGAAATTTAGTTATGAAACCAAATGTTGTTGCCCTTTACAATAAAACCATGGGGGGTGTAGATTTGGGTGATGCACAGCTCTATGTGTACTTTTCTGAGCGTAAAACAATTAAGTGGACAACTAAATTTGCTCTTTCTTTATTTGGCTATTTATTAAATAGCTATTTATTATATAAGCTCAATACAAATGAACAAAAGAATAGATTTTATGATGGCTATAGTGGAAAGTTTAGCCATAGGTTTTTTTCCAGTAAAAGTATTTTCTAGAAGAAGAACATTAAGAGAGATTAAAATGGCTAGAAGTACAATTGTCCCATACCTACTTCCCCAACTTACTGCAAATAGCAATCCATTATATGGTCACAATCTTGTTAAGGTTGGTGCAGGAAAAAAAAAAGTGTAGCTGGGCACCAAACTCGATTTCGCACAAGTTGGCAGTGTCAGTTATGTGGTGTTGGATTGTGTCCAGCCTGTTTTTCCAATTATCACACAACAGTTGTGCATTAAAATCATTAAACTACTTTTAATCTTATATAACCTACAAAAAATTTAAAAAGTTCAAAAATAGTTGTTTTCTTGTTTGTTTGTTTTATTGATATGTTTATTGCCGATTTTTTTTTTGCCGATATTTTTTTAGTTGAATTTTTCTGAGCAGCGTTCAAATTTTATCGAGCACTCAAAGGGTTAAAGACATCCACAGATAATCCACCATTAGTTTGCATATTAATCAGTTATATCTACTATATAATTATGTTACATAGTTGAGCTATATACTTTTCTATTGTTTATACTCTGCTATATTATTTAGTTTTATCATTTCATTTTGTTGTTCTGCAAATTATTCATTTTTACTATTCCATAAAGATGTTTTGAAAAAAAAAAAAAAGATTATATAGACTTTTTGATATTACGACAAAATACAGAAGTAAAATTTATTATGTTTTAGAAATAAATTGACTTGACATTGGAGTGACTCTGCCCATATTGTTTTGTTCCATTAATATTGAAATAATATGATGTTAAAAAAAAAAAAGCAAATAAAAAATAAATTATTATTTTTATTACAATTTATTTAAAAATTTTTTTTTGCCTTTTAGTTGACTTAATCAATTTCAAAAATGTTTTTTTGACAAAATGTATTAGTTGATTTAATTCAACGTTAGAAAATATATTCGTTTATTTTATTCAATGTTAGAATATATATTAGTTGATTTTATTTGACGTTAGAAAATATAATTGTTGATTTAATTTGAAGTTAAAAAATTTATTAGTGGATTTTATTCAACGTTAGAAAATATATTAGTTGATTTTATTCAACGTTAGAAAATATAATTGTTGATTTAATTTGAAGTTAGAAAATATATTTGTTGATTTAATTCAACATTAGAAAATATAATTGTTGATTTAATTTGAAGTTAGAAACTTTATTAGTTGATTTAATTTAACGTTAGAAAATATAATTGTTGATTTAATTTGAAGTTAGAAAATTTATTAGTTGATTTTATTCAACATTAGAAAATATATTAGTTGATTTTATTCAACTTTAGAAAATATATTAGTTTATTTTATTCAATGTTAGAATATATATTAGTTGATTTTATTTGACGTTAGAAAATATAATTGTTGATTTAATTTGAAGTTAGAAAATTTATTAGTTGATTTTATTCAACGTTAGAAAATATATTAGTTGATTTTATTCAACGTTAGAAAATATATTAGTTTATTTTATTCAATGTTAGAATATATATTAGTTGATTTTATTTGTCTTTAGAAAATATAATTGTTGATTTAATTTGAAGTTAGAAAATTTATTAGTTGATTTTATTCAACGTTAGAAAATATAATATTTTGATTAAATTAATAGTTAAATTATTTAAAACTCTAACAGCACTATTTATTCTATAATAAACTTATAAGAAATTTGATGTTATAACTAACTTAATCAAATTATTTCACAAAAAACTTATTTACCATTATTATTTGTTTTTCTTCTTTTTTTCGATTGAAGTAATAAAATAATAATTCACAAAAAGACTTACCAAAACAGAAAGTCGCTTTAGCTCTCTTTGCTGGTTTTCAGCTTTTTGTAAAGCTTCTTCAAATTTTTTGTTTTCCATAAGCCAAGATATATGGTCATCTAGATCCCTTGGCTGAATATATATATATATATATATATATATATATATATATATATATATATATATATATATATATATATATATATATATATATATATATATATATATATATATATATATATATATATATATACACACTAATTTAAAACATCAGATAATATGAATTCTTTTAATACAAAACAATTTATTTGTCATATTATAAGCACCAACATCAACATATAATATAATTACAAAAATTGTGGCCGTTAAATAAAAACAAAAAAATTAAATTTTGAAGTCACCTTTATAATGGTTTCTTTTACTTAAATATAAAAAAATCATATTTAAAGCCGCATTTTTTTATTTATAACAATAGCACGTCATTTGTAAATAAAGCAAATGCTGAATATATATTTATATATATTTTTATATGTATATATATATATATATATATATATATATATATATATATAAATATATATATATATATAAATATATATATATATATATATATATATTTATATATATAAAAATTATGTTGTTGCATTATACAAATAGAGTGCTCAATGTTCTTAAATAACAGAGCAATAATAAATTAGTAAAAACACTTATCTAATTTTTATTTTCTTCTACAGCATGTTTTGACTGATGGAGTCACATGCTGATGGAGAAACATACTGTAGAAGAAAATAATTTTTTTTTTTAATAAAAATTAGTTTTTATAAAATAAGTGTTTTTACTGATATATATATATATATATATATATATATATATATATATATATATATATATATATATATATATATATATATATATATATATATATATATATATATATATATATATATATATATATATATACTTGAAATATGATATTTGACCAATATTAAGCAAAAGATAGTTAGGCCAGTAAACAAAAGTAAATCTTTTTTTCTCAAAATATTTATTTTTAAAAATATTTTTTTTATTTTCCAAAAAATACACTAATACAAAGTATTTTTATATAACTAATTAAATAAACTTTAAGCACTAGAGGATTTTCAAAAAATCATGTACTGTTTTGGTATTATAGCAAGATTTTTGTAAACAAAATAAATTTAATTACATATTGTTGCTATGAGTAACTATTTTGATGAATTAAATTCTAATAATACACAGGAAGTATCAATTAAAAGTATCATGTTTTTGTTTGTGCAGATGTTTTTCGTATGACAACAAAAAACTTTCATTGTTAAGCTCAAAGAAAACAAAAAGTTAAAAAAAAGGTTCAATTACATTTTGATGGGAGCGTTGACGAGTATAAACATGGTTGTCAAATCTATTAGTTAAAAGGCCAGTTCTGCAACTAAAAATATGTCCATTTATTTGTTATCTTAAATTGTTAGTTCTGCCAGTATATGTGGCATGTTTTTTGCATGCCAAACATTTAAGGTAATAAATTACATTTTTGCTGTTGCATGTGATGCGACTTTTTATTTTCCAGATAGTACCATTAGAAGTTTCAAACTCATCTACTTCTTGAAGGTAGAGTTTGCATATTTTACATCGAATGTCTTAAAATGTACATAAAATAAGAAGATTGATATTTAAATATGCCAATCTTCTTATTATTTGCTTCAACTTTTGAAGAAGTAAGTCTTCTTAGTATGTTAGGAGGTTGTTTAAAAGCTGCCTTAACATTAACATAATTTTTTAATCTTGTTTCAGCCATTATTGCTGTCTGCCAATTACCACTTGGTTTACATTAGTTCTATAATCTAATCTTTGGTAACTATAAGTTAGTAAATTAATGTTTTTGCATTATTTTATTTATTTTAAATTTGTTTTAACATTGCTGTCTGTCAAGATTCCACCATTTTATTTGTTTTGTTTTAATTTTTTTTTTTACAACTTATTTCATACTTGTGTTTTATAGATCAAAAGGAACATAAATATCAAAGTGCCTCTATAATTGGTTGACTTTAATTTTTTGTCTACGGAAGCTGTAATTGGTTGACTTTAATTTTTTGTCTACAGAAGCTGAACCACCCTACTCTTCAATTCTCTCTAGACTATTTAATTTTTTGACTCTTTTTTTAATTTAATTGATTAATAATTAATAAATAAAAAAATTTAATTGCTTGACTGAATCTTGTTTTCCTGCCTGCTGGTTCCAACATGTCATCTGTGGTTCCAACATGTCATCTGTGGTTCCAACATGTCATCTGTGGTTCCAACATGTCATCTGTGGTTCCAACATGTCATCTGTGGTTCCAACATGTCGTCTGTGGTTCCAACATGTCATATGTGGTTCCAATTTGTCATCTGTGGTTCCAATTTGTAAAAACTCTAGAGAAAATTCTGACACCGCAAACTATTGTGAAATCAGACTTTACTCTATTATTGGCAAGGTCTTTAAGATTAGCAAACTTCTAACATCCTATCTTGAGCCTAATAATTCTGACAAACAATTTTCAATCTTCTCATTCTACAGCTGACAAGCTAACTGATTTGAATGAAAGATTCTAGGTAGAGGCGGCAAGACAAGGTTTTTTTTTTAAATATCTAAAGTTTTTGATAATGCTTGGCATGCTAATCTTCTCCATATACTTTCTTTATATGCTAAATCTGGGAAAAATTTTTAAGATTATCAAATCAATTCTAGATTCTAAGTCATTTCATTCAAGATTTTAAATTATTTCATTCAAGGTTCTATTGAAGAAAGAAAACAAACAAAACAAAAAAACATTTTGACTCCATCTAACAATCTGATCAGTCTTCTCAGTATTATTAGCAAGGTCTTTGAGTTTTTATTCATCAAGCTTATAACATCCCATCTTGAGTCTAATAACTATTTGACAATCAATTTTCAGTTTTCACAATCTACAGCTGACTTGCTAACTGTTGTGACTGAAAGATTATAGGTAGAGGTGGCAAGACAAGGGCTTTTTTTAAAATATCTAAAGTTTTTGATAATGCTTGACATGCTTGCCTTCTCCATAAGCTTTTTTTATATGCTAAATCTGGGAAAATTTTAAAGATTATCAAATTATTTCTTATTTACTGCAGTACTAAAATCATCTTCGAAGATCAAGACTTTATTCTATTGAAGAAAGTTAAATTTTTAATTTTGCTTGTTAACAAGTTTAGGGGAATGTGGACAATAGGGAGAGATAAAACTTTCTTATGCCAATATGACTTAGCTCTTCACTTAATTGTGGTATTAAAGCTGACAAAATTTAGGTAAGATTATGTCAAAACCCATTAATTTAATTGCCGGAAGTAATTAAATTTAGAAAACCACAAAATAAAAAATAAATTAAAAGACTAGATTGTTTTTAAAAACGTTCTGAATGTTTTAATTTTTATTTTTTAAAAATAAAAATATTCTGAATGTTTATATTTTTATTTTTAAATTGTATCATGCGCAGTATTTTTAAATTGTATCATGCGCATACTTATATTTTAAAATTGTGCATATTTTTATTAATACATAGACTATCTTATAGCCTGACTTGCAATGGAGTGCTGCTACATCGACCGACAAATAGCCTGACTTGCAACGAAAGTGCTGCTACATCGACTGACTAGCAACAGAGTACTGGTACATCACCTGAGGGTTTAGTTTGGGCAGACAGTCTATTAAATATATTTAAAAAAAAAAAGTTTTTCGAGTCTTCAAAATTAAAAAAAACATAAAACTGATACTATACGGCAAAAACATAAAGATGACCATGCAAGAGTATACATACATACATACATATACATATATACATATATATATACATATATATATATATTTATATATATATATATATATATATATATATATATATATATATATATATATATATATATATATATATATATATATATATATATATATATATACTTTTTACAAATATTGTTGCAAATATCGTATAATATATCAACTTATGTTACAAATAAAGTATAGCTACAAATAAAATATTTATTCAAAAGTAGGTCAACCTGGAACTCAAAAAAAGCAAAACTATATAAAAATTGTTTCATATAAAAAATTATATTTTAAATTTTTTAAATTAAATACCTTTAATTTTAGACAAAAAATAAAAAAAGTTACAAGTTTTTAAAGGTATTTTTTTTCCTTAATATGTTTTTATAAAACAAATATGATTTTTAAAACTTTTACATAATTTCACTTATTTTGAGTAACAGGTTGACCTACTTTTGAAAAACTTTTTTTACATATATATTTATATATATATATATATATATATATATATATATATATATATATATATATATATATATATATATATTAAGGGTAGTCATTTTTAGGGAATTTTTGAAATCGAAGTACATACCCAGCTAAAGTTGGAGCAAATATGCTAAAACTTTGTCAAAATTTTTTTTAGGTCAATCGGGTGACTTTTAAGTCCCCCTCAAGACTAAAGTTGTTAAGAAATTGTCCTTCAAAAAAGGAAAAATAGGGTGTGTTCAGGGTGTTTGAGGGGGATTTAAATGAAAAAATTATTTCCATTTTTTTTTTTTTTTTTAATTTGATATCTATATTTTCATTTTAAAAGGGTATGTCCTCATGTTTTTTACACATTCTTGGTTAAAACGATATTTACGAAAGGAAAAAATAAAAATTTTATGTTACGCAAGAGGTTATGAAAATCAGCAACGATAAAAAAATTCTTATAAAATAATGCAGAAGAAAATGTGCTGAAGATCCTGCACTGTATTTTTAAGTCACTAAGAGTTTTTATAAAGAAATTGTACGTGAAATTGCGTTACATTATTTTATTTTTTTAAATAACTTTCGTATTTACTTGATTGTTATTAATTGAATTACAATATAAAGTAAAATTGTATTGAAGTTTTTAATTAATTACAGACCATTAAATATATTTAGATTGAATACAAAAATGGAAAAAAAAATTGTAAAAGATATTGAGAAGAGGAAGTTTCTCAGATCAAGCAAAAACAAACTTTTTATCATAAATGAGGCTAAACCAGCTATTACATGTACATATCTAATTTAAAAAAATTGTTTTGAATTTTAAATT